TGATATTCCTCCCACTGACACAAACAACGAGGAACAATTCATCCCAATGACACCAACAATGGGGTCCAATGACACCAATGATGGGGTGCTATTTCTCCCACTGACATAAACAATGGAGCCCTATGACACCAATGATGGGTGCTATTCTCCCACTTACACCAAGAATGGGGCACAATTCATCCCAATGACACGAACAATGGGGCCCAATGACACTAATGATGGGGCACTGTTCCTCCCACTGACACCAACAATGGGGCACAATGACACCAATGATGGGGCACTATTCCTCCCATGTACACCAACAGTGGGGCACAATTCATCCCAATGGCACCAACAATGGAACCCTATGACACTAATGATGGGTGCTATTCCTCCCACTTACACCAAGAATGGGGCACAATTCATCCCAATGACACGAACAATGGGGCCCAATGACACCAATGATGGGGTGTTTTTCTTCCCACTGACACAAACAATGAGGCACAATTCATCCCAATGACACCAACAATGGGGCCCAATGACACTAATGATGGGGCACTGTTCCTCCTACTGACACCCAACGATGGGGCACTATGACACCAATGATGGGGTGCTATTCCTCCCACTGACACAAACAATGAGGCACAATTCATCCCAATGACACCAACAATGGGCCCAATGACACCAACGATGGGTGCTATTCCTCCCAATGACACCTATTCCTCCCACTTACACCAACAATGAGGGGCACAATTCATCCCAATGACACCAACAATGGGGCCTAATGACACCAATGATGGGGCGCTATTCCTCCCTCTTACACCAACAATGGGGCACAATTCATCCCAATTACACCAACAATGGGGCCCAATGGCACCAACAATGAGTGCTATTCCTCCCACTTACACCAACAATAGGGCACAATTCATCCCAATGACACGAACAATGGGGCCCAATGACACCAATGATGGGGTGCTTTTCTTCCCACTGACACAAACAATGAGGCACAATTCATCCCAATGACACCAACAATGGGGCCCAATGACACCAACGATGGGTGCTATTCCTCCCAATGACACCTATTCCTCCCACTTACACCAACAATGAGGCACAATTCATCCCAATGACACCAACAATGGGGCCTAATGACACCAATGATGGGGCGCTATTCCTCCCTCTTACACCAACAATGGGGCACAATTCATCCCAATTACACCAACAATGGGGACCAATGACACCAACAATGGGTGCTATTCCTCCCACTTACACCAAGAATGGGGCACAATTCATCCCAATGACACGAACAATGGGGCCCAATGACACCAATGATGGGGTGCTTTTCTTCCCACTGACACAAACAATGAGGCACAATTCATCCCAATGACACCAACAATGGGGCCCAATGACACTAATGATGGAGCACTGTTCCTCCCACTGACACCCAACGATGGGGCACAATGACACCAATGATGGGGTGCTATTCCTCCCACTGACACAAACAATGAGGCACAATTCATCCCAATGACACCAACAATGGGGCCCAATGACACCAACGATGGGTGCTATTCCTCCCAATGACACCTTTTCCTCCCACTTACACCAACAATGAGGCACAATTCATCCCAATGACACCAACAATGGGGCCCAATGACACCAACGATGGGTGCTATTCCTCCCAATGACACCTATTCCTCCCACTTACACCAACAATGAGGCACAATTCATCCCAATGACACCAACAATGGGGCCCAATGACACCAATGATGGGGCGCTATTCCTCCTTCTTACACCAACAATGGGGCACAATTCATCCCAATTACACCAAAAATGGGGCCCAATGACACCAACGATGGGTGCTATTCCTCCCACTTACACCAACAATGGGGCACAATTCATCCCAATGACACCACCAATGGGGTCTAATAACATCAATGATGGGGTGCTATTCCTCTCACTTACACCAACAATGAGGCACAATTCATCCCAATGACACAAACAATGGGGCCCAATGACACCAATGATGGGGTGCTATTCCTCCCACTTACACCAACAATGAGGCAAAATTCATCCCAATGACACCAACAATGGGGCCCAATGACACCAATGATGGGGCGCTATTCCTCCCACTGACACGAACGATGAGGCATTGTTTATTCCCACTGACGTCGGGACCTTTTCTACTTCCACTGGCCACAGTCCGGCCCCCCCCAAGTTTGAAGGTCAATAAACTGGCCCTTTGTTTAGAGAGTTTGGAGACCCCAGCTCTACATAATAAACTGTAATTATTATTTGTTGCATTTTTATATCAATTATTTGAATCCTTTAATCAGAAGATGGTATTCTTTCATATGCTGTGTGAGAATGTGAGGGACCGGCCGCGGTGGGAGATTAGGAAAGGGAGATGGAAAGGACAGGAGAGGCTCCAGCATTCGTATTGTGAAGGAGAAAGCAATGTTCTGAGTTTTCTTTGGGTTTTGTGATCCCGGATGGGGGAGTGGAGTTTGAAGGTTCCAAAGAGTCTTGGGTGGGACGGAACCTTCAATCCTGTGTCTGAGTCGTTATCAGCCAGGTAGTGAAGGTAGTGGTGGTGGTGCAATAGCTGAGGTTGGGCTGAGAAAAAGGTAGTGGTCGTTATCAGTGAAGGTAGTGGTGTTCTCCAGCCAGTTTGAAGGTTCCAAAGAGTCTTGGGTGGGACAGAAGGTTCCAAAGAGTCTTGGGTGGGATGGAGTTTGAAGGTTCCAAAGAGTCTTGGGTGGGACGGAACCTTCAATCCTGTGTCCGGAGTCTTTATCAGCCAGGTCTGGTGAGAGCCAGGTCTGGTGAGAGCTCAGGGTAGATGCTGCCATTTGGACACACAGCCTTTATGTGAAGGTAGTAGTGTTCTCCATCCAGGAGGGGTGACTTATTCAGGAGATGTGACCCCATGTTGGTGAGACGTCTTGCTCATAGCTGTCCTGGCTTTCCCAGTCCTTTGTGGGTGTGGAAAGACTGGGAAAGCTGAGATGACCAGCGAGCCCAGGAGGGGCTGGAGGGAGTTCCCAAGAACCCGCGGAGCTGGGAGAACCCTATGAGGAGGCCAAGAGTCCAGGAGGGGCTGGAGGGAGTTCCCCTGACAGGAGGGATGACTTACTCAGGAGACGTGACCCCATGTTGGTGGGACTTCTTGCTGATAGGACTGGGAAAGCCAGGACAGCTATGCTGGTGTGGAAAGACTGGGAAAGCTGAGGTGACCAGCGAGTGCAGGAGGGACTGGAGGGAGTTCCCCAGACAGGAGGGATGACTTACTTGGGAGACGTGACCCCATGTTGGTGGGACTTCTTGGTCATAGGACTTGGAAAGCCAGGATAGCTATGCGAGTGTGGTAAGACTGGGAAAGCTGAGGTGGCCAGTGAGTCCAGGAGGGGCTGGAGGGAGTTCCCAAGAACCCAGGGAGCTTGGAGAACCCTATGAGGAGGCCAAGAGTCCAGGAGGGGCTGGGGAAAGTTCCCCAGACAGGAGGGATGACTTACTCAGGAGCGTGACCCCTTGTTGGTGGGACTTCTTGCTCATAGGACAGGGAAAGCCAGGACAGCTATGCGGTTGTGGAAAGACTGGGAAAGCTAAGGTGACCAGCAAGTCCAGGAGGGGCTGGAGGAAGTTCCCCAGACAGGAGGGATGACTTACTCAGGAGACGTGACCCCATGTTGGTGGGACTTCTTGCTCATAGGACTGGGAAAGCCAGGACGGCTATGCGGGTGTGAAAAAACTGAGAAAGCTGAGGTGACCAGCGAGTCCAGGAGGGGCTGGAGGAAGTTCCCCAGACAGGAGACAGGAGGGATGACTTACTCAGGACACGTGACCCCATGTTGGTGGAGGACACCATTAGCAAACCAGTAATTCAAATGTATTTATCTTCAACAGATGTACCTGAAAGACTTGGGATGGTCCAACCGTGGAGTGCTGTAAAGGAGGAATCAAACTCTATCAAGGAAAAATATATTTTTGTTGGAGGAGTCAATACAGAGACTGAGACCTCAACTGTTGCCGTAAGGCAGGAATCAGACGACAAAGAAAATCTTGTGGAAGGAGGTGGGGCATTACTAGGCCAAGACCATGCTGAGGACCATCAGCAAGTCCATAAGAAATCAGACCACAAAGAAGATCTTGTAGAAGGAGGTGGAACATTTCTAGGCCAAGGCCAGGCTGAGGAACATCAGCAAGTCCATAAGAAACCAGACCACAAAGAAGATCTTGTGGAAGGAGGTGGGACATTTCTAGGCCAAGACCAGGCTGAGGAACATCAGCAAGTCAATAAGGAATCAGACCTCAAAGAAGATCTTGTTGAAGGAGGTGGAACATTTCTAGGCCAAGGCCAGGCTGAGGAACGTCGGCAAGTCCATAAGGAATCAGACCACAAAGAAGATCTTGTGGAAGGAGGTGGAACATTTCTAGGCCAAGACCAGGCTGAGGAACATCAGCAAGTCCATAAAAGTCTGAAACTGTATCCGTGCTCCGAGTGCAAGAAGACTTTTCCGGAAAAGACAAAGCTTAAAAGGCACCTAAAGGTTCATACTGGGGAAAAGCCATTTCCTTGCAAAGAGTGCGGGAAGAGTTTCGCAGAGAAATCGACGCTTAAAAGACACTCACGGTCTCACTCCAAGGAGAGGCCGTACCCCTGTCCTACTTGCGGGAAGAATTTCGTCAGGAGAAGCACTCTCATCATCCATATCCGGATCCACACGGGGGAAAAGCCCTACGTGTGCACGGAATGTGGGAGGGGCTTCAACCAGAAGTTTGACCTCAAAAAACACGAGATGGCTCACACGGGAGAGAAACAGTTTTCCTGCGAGGAGTGTGGCAAGCGCTTCGTCCAGAAGCGGTCTCTGGCCCAACACAAACAGGTTCACACCGGGGAGAAGCCCTACATGTGCGCCGTGTGCGGAATGAGTTTTGCTCATCGTTTGCTCCTCGTTGTTCACAAGACGACTCATTCCGGTGAGAAGCCTTATAAGTGCTCCGAGTGCGGGAGTTGTTTTTTCCCGGAAGTCGCACCTCATTGTTCACCAAAAACTCCATTCTGGGGAGAAGCCCTTTGCCTGCTCCGAGTGCGGGAAAAGCTTCTCCAGTAACTTGTATCTTCAAACCCACAAGAGGATTCATTCCGCTGACCATTCCTATTCATGTTCAGAATGCGGCAAATCCTTTCTCCACAAATCGAAGCTGATCCTGCACCAGGTGATCCATACCGGGGAACGGCCGTTTTCGTGCCCCGATTGTGGGAGGTGTTTTCCGCGTAAGGGAGAACTGACCGTTCACCAGAGAAGGCATCTGGTGGAGAAGCCCTATTCGTGTTCCTGGTGCGGGAAATCCTTTCACTTGAACTCCGCGCTGGTCAACCACCAACGAATCCATACGGGGGAGCGGCCTTATTCTTGTCCCGAGTGCGAGAAGTGTTTCAGCCGACGTGGAGCACTGACGGCCCACCAGAGGATACACACTGGAGAGAAGCCATTTACGTGTCCGGAATGCGGGAAATCCTTTACCCAGAAGACGGGACTCAACACTCATAAGCGGACCCATACTGGTGAACGGCCTTATGCTTGTCCAGAGTGTGGGAAATCCTTTACGCGCCGTTCCTACCTCACTCAACACCAGAAGGCCCACCCGTCGGAGAGTTCCCTTCCCAGTTAGCATGCTTGGTAATTGGCGGCATAATGACAGGACAAATAAAGTTTTTTACTTTGGAATGGAAGAGACTTCTTTTTTTTTCTGAAGGCCTTGATCAACCGGCTTTGCTTTGCAGTTGGAGTTTCATGGACAGACCCTGTGTCACCCTGTGTATTTTTGTAATAAAGTTTTGGTATTGAAAGATGCCTAAATGTTGCCCAGAGACGGACTTTCAAAACTGCAGGATCAATCTGAAAAAAATTGTACAGTGGTCATTTACTGTTTTTTTTGTTTTTGTAAAATAAATATGTACATCAAGTTATAAAATTGGGCCATTTCAAATTCAGATCTATGCAGTGACATAACTGTTTGAGCTCCCTGTATGTACGGACAGACTTGCTGATTGGGCAGAATCCACAGATAGCGTAACTCCTCAGTAAGACACAGCTGTGTCCAGCATACTTTGGATACGGTAATGCAAAAGGATGTTTTTCCAGTCTTGTGAAGCGTAAGGCCTCATGCACATCGGGCGTTTTTTTTTTTTTTTTACAGCCAGTAAACGCCCCAGCATGTTATCCTATGTGTCCATACACACATAAGCTTTAATCTGTTTTTTGTTTCTTTTTGGCAGGGAGTGTTCTCTGGTTGGGGAAAAAAAAAAACAGAACTAGTGGGTTTCATTCACTATATCCGCTCTCCCCGGACCCCGCATTCACTATATCCGCTCTCCCCAGACACGGCATTCACTATATCCGCTCTACCCGGACCCAGCATTCACTATATCTGCTCTCCTCGGACCCTGCATTCACTATTTCCTCTCTCCCCGGACCCCGCATTCACTATATCCCCTCTCCCCGGACCCCGCATTCACTATATCCGCTCTCCCCGGAGGACCCCGCATTCACTATATCCGCTCTCCCCGGACCCCGCATTCACTATATCCGCTCTCCCCGGACCCCGCATTCACTATATCCGCTCTCCCCAAACCCCGCATTCACTATATCCGCTCTCCCCGGACCCCGCATTCACTATATCCGCTCTCCCCGGACCCCGCATTCACTATATCCGCTCTCCCCGGACCCCGCATTCACTATATCCGCTCTCCCCGGACCCCGCATTCACTATATCCGCTCTCTCCGGACCCCGCATTCACTATCCGCTCTCCCCGGACCCCGCATTCACTATATCCGGTCTCCCCGGACCCCGCATTCTCTATATCCGGTCTCCCGGACCTCGCATTCTCTATATCCGGTCTCCCGGACCTCGCATTCACTATATCCGGTCTCCCCGGACCCCGCATTCACTTTCTCCCCGGACCCCGCATCCACTATATCCGCTCTCCCCGGACCCCGCATTCACTATATCCAGTCGCTAGATGGAAGTGCTGAGCAGCAAATCCATCACAGCGTCTATTTGCAGCTGCTCAGCACTCCCATCTAGCGGCCGAATTTGCTAAGTGCACCGCTTTGCTCTTAGCGAGGACACGCACTCACTCCGGTGGCCGTTAAGTGGAAGCTCAACCACACACCCACGCCTGTGGAGGACACCAGGCCGGAAGTCGGGGAGGTGGAACGCAGAACCAGGAAGTCTGGAACGCAAAAAAAACCAGGATGTCAAATTACAAAGAGGAAGTGGGTGGAGAGAATTTTGGCGTCTGGAGACTGATGTTTGGAGCTGCTGGGGTTGTATTTTTTTAATTTTTGAAACCCAGAAGATATAAGGTTTCTGTGTGTTTTATTTATAGTTTTGTCCCATTTCTGTTTATGTTATTACTGATGTGAAGTGTTATATCATCGATGTCTGAATAGAATATACACTCTGTTATACCCATTGTGTTTATTTCTGGTGAGAGCGAGATTCACAGGGATCTTCTGCCAATGATGGACAGGGATGGCGGCACCCGTATTACTGATAGGATATTAAACCTGACCCTGGAGATCATCCACCTGCTGACCGGAGAGGTGAGGAGTATTCTGGGAGATCACATGATGTCACTCTGATCTCTATTAATAAAACACAGACCTGAACGGAGAGGTGAGGAGGATTCTGGGAGGTCACATGACATCACTCATTTCTATTAATAAAACACAGACCTGACCGGAGAGGTGAGGAGGATTCTGGCAGGTCACATGACGTCACTCTGATTTCTATTAATAAAACAGACCTGACCGGAGAGGTGAGGAGGATTCTGGGAGGTCACATGACATCACTCTCATCTCTATTAATAAAACAGATCTGACTGGAGAGGTGAGGAGGATTCTGGGAGGTCACATGATGTCACTCTTATCTATGTTAATAAAACACAGACCTGAAGGGAGAGGTGAGGAGGATTCTGGGAGGTCACATGATGTCACTCTTATCTATGTTAATAAAACACAGACCTGAAGGGAGAGGTGAGGAGGATTTCTGGAGGTCACATGACGTCACTCTCATCTCTATTAACCACTTCCCTTCCAGCCACTGTATATAAACGGCAGGACGGTGGTAGTCCAGAGGCAGGTTGCTGTTCATAAACGACGGCCGCCATTTTGGATTGTGCGCTCTATGAGAGCAGGAGGCACTGCGATCCAGTGCCCGCTGTGTCCAGAAGAACACCGATTGCTGTACGGGACCTCTGTGTGAGGTCCCGATCATGTGATCACTGATTGGCCCATCAGTGATCATATGAATAGTAGTAAGCAAGATGTTACTTCTGACATCATTGCTTACTACGTGTGAAATCTGTGAATGATCACTTGGTACAGGGCCATTCACAGCAGCCTTGTACCATGTGACACGCTGTGACCAATCACAGTATTTCTCAATGGCTGCAAGAATGCAGCCAGAGAGAAGGAGAAATGATTGCTTTTACAGCCTTTATGGTTGTAGAAGCAATCAGTGTAAAAAAAAAAAAAATCACCCCCCCCCCTCACAAGTAGTACAGTGTCACCATGGTAACACTGTACTACTAGGGTGACCATATGTAAAAAACAAAAACATAATAATATATAAAAAAATAATAAAAATGAAAAAAAAAATGTTTAAAAATGATAATTTTTGGTTATAAACTAATTTGGGTTATTTTTTTTACTAAAATGATAACTGAAAAATTTTGGCTGAGATTTATGAAAAAAGATTTTATTTATTTGCAAAATTGTATAAGAAAAAAACTTTTTTTCAAAATTTTTTGACCTTTTCGTTTATATAGCCAAAAAAATAAAAATTCCAGTGGTGAATAAATACCACCAAAATAAAGTTTTATCTGTCTCAAAAAAATGCTAAAAAATTCATATGGGTACAGTGTTGCATGACAGCGCAATTGTCATTCAAAGTGTGATAGCGCTGAAAGCTGAAAATTGGCCTGGGCAGGAAGGGGGTGAAAGTGTCCAGACTGGAAGTGGTTAATAAAACACAGACCTGACCGGAGAGGTGAGGAGGTTTCTGGGAGTTCACATGACATCACTCTCATCTCTAATAATAAAACACAGACCTGACCGGAGAGGTGAGGAGGATTCTGGGAGGTCACATGACATCAGTCTCATCTCTTAATAAAACACAGAGATGACCGGAGAGATGAAGGTTATATATGTAATACTTAATACCTCATTATATAGGATTATGGACCCCTGAAGAAGTCTAGTGATCCCTGGTCTTCCTCTCTGACAGTGAGTAGCAACAACAAGAAGATTCTAGAAGCCACCCAGAAGATCATTGATCTGCTGAGAGGAGAGGTGAGCGGTGCCAGGAATTCTGGGACATTCTCCAGTAGCAGACAAGGGATGTGTCTGGATGGTGACTGTATCATTGTGTGTGTCAGGTTCCTATAAGGTGTCAGGATGTCACTGTCTATTTCTCCATGGAGGAGTGGGAGTATTTAGAAGGACACAAGGATCTCTACAAGGACTTCATGATGGAGGACCGGCCGTCCCTCACATCACCGGGTATGTTGTCATTTATTTTTCTCTATAGTCCATTGAGGGACATGAAATTCTTATACAACTGAGTTATACTGCCACCTACAGCATGATTGGAGACTAACAAACAGAAAATGTAGGTCACCCACACGAGGTATGACCCCTCTTATGCTTGGCTTGCACCCCTTTGTGTGAATGCCCTGAGAAGGATGAATGGTTGTCTCAGCTCAGCCATTTCCTTCAGAGGCTTCCTATTCAATAACTGCCGGTTATTTGTTTAGTCTGGGTGACCCACCTGTGCAGCAAGACCTGTGTTAGCTGCCTGCATGGTGCCGTATCCCCCCAAAAAACATAATAAAAGATCCAGCAATTAGTCACAGCATAAATAATATAATACAGAATATAAAACAACGTGATACAAAGCAGCTCTAATGAAGGGACACAATTGTTCCCAATGACACCAACAATGGGGCACAGTGACACCAATGATGGGGCGCTATTCCTCCCACCTACACCAACAATGGGGCACAATTTATCCCAATGACACCAACAATGGGGCCCAGTGACACCAATGATGGGGCACTATTCCTCCCACTTACACCAACAATGGGGTCCAATGATGGGGTGCTATTCCTCCCACTTACACCAACAATGAGGCACAATTCATCCCAATGACACCAGATATGGGGTGCTATTCTTCCCACTGACACCAACGATGGGGCACAATGACACTAATGATGGGGTGCTATTCCTCCAATTGACACAAACAATGAGGCACAATTCATCCCAATCAAATGACCAGCGAGTCCAGGAGGGGCTGGAGCGAGTTCCCCTGACAGGAGGGATGACTTACTCGGGAGACGTGACCCCATGTTGGTGGGACTTCTTGCTCATAGGATTAGGAAAGCCAGGACAGCTATGTTGGTGATAAGACTGGGAAAGCTGAGGTGACCAGCAAGTCCAGGAGGGGTTGAAGGAAGTTCCCCAGACAGGAGGGATGACTTGGGGAACGTGACCCCATGTTGGTTGAGGACACCATTAGCAAACCAGTAATTCATATGTATTTATATTCCACAGATGTACCTGAAAGACTTGGGATGGTCCAACCGTGGCGTGCTGTAAAGGAGGAATCAAACTCTATCAAGGAAAAAAATATTTTTGTTGGAGGAGTCAATACAGAGACTGAGACCTCAATTGTTGCCGTAAGGCAGGATTCAGACCACAAAGAAAAATCTTTGTGGAAGGAGGTGGGACATTATTAGGCCAAGACCATGCTGAGGAACATTAGAAAGTCCATAAGGAATCAGACCTCAAAGAAGAACTTGTAGAAGAAGGTGGAACATTTCTAGGCCAAGACCAGGCTGAGGAACATCAGCAAGTCCATAAGGAATCAGACCTCAAAGAAGAACTTGTAGAAGGAAGTGGAACATTTCTAGGCCAAGACCAGGCTGAGGAACATCGGCAAGTCCATAAGGAATCAGACCTCAAAGAAGAACTTGTAGAAGAAGGTGGAACATTTCTAGGCCAAGACCAGGCTGAGGAACATCAGCAAGTCCATAAGGAATCAGACCTCAAAGAAGAACTTGTAGAAGGAAGTGGAACATTTCTAGGCCAAGACCAGGCTGAGGAACATCGGCAAGTCCATAAGGAATCAGACCTCAAAGAAGAACTTGTAGAAGGAGGTGGAACATTTCTAGGCCAAGACCAGGCTGAGAAACATCAGAAAGTCCATAAGGAATCAGACCACAAAGAAGATCTTGTGGAAGGAGGTGGGACATTTCTAGGCCAAGACCAGGCTGAGGAATATGGGCAAGTCCATAAGGAATCAGACCACAAAGAAGATTTTGTGGAAGGAGGTGGGACATTTCTAGGCCAAGGCCAGGCTGAGGAACATCAGAAAGTCCATAAGGAATCACACCTCAAAGAAGAACTTGTAGAAGGAAGTGGAACATTTCTAGGCCAAGACCAGGCTGAGGAACATCAGCAAGTCCATAAGGAATCAGACCTCAAAGAAGAACTTGTAGAAGGAGGTGGGACATTTCTAGGCCAAGGCCAGGCTGAGGAACATCGGCAAGTCCATAAGGAATCAGACCACAAAGAAGATCTTGTGGAAGGAGGTGGAACATTTCTAGGCCAGGACCAGGCTGAGGAACATCAGCAAGTCCATAAAAATCTGAAACTGTATCTGTGCTCCGAGTGCAAGAAGACTTTTCCGGAAAAGACAAAGCTTAAAAGGCATCTAAAGGTTCATACTGGGGAAAAACCATTTCTTTGCAAAGAGTGCCGGAAGTGTTTCGCAGAGAAAACGACGCTTAAAAGACACTCACGGTCTCTCACTCCAAGGAGAGGCCATACCCCTGTCCTACTTGCGGGAAGAATTTCATCAGGAGAAGCACTCTCCTCATTCACATCCGGATCCACACGGGGGAAAAGCCCTACATGTGCACGGAATGTGGGAGGGGCTTCAACCAGCAGTTCTATCTCAAAAAACACGAGATGGCTCACACGGGAGAGAAACAGTTTTCCTGCGAGGAATGCGGCAAGCGCCTTGTCCAGAAGTGGTCTCTGGCTCAACACAAACAGGTTCACACTGGGGAGAAGCCCTACGTGTGCGCAGTGTGCGGAATGAGTTTTGCCAGTCATTTGCTCCTCGTCGTTCACAAGACGACTCATTCCGGTGAGAAGCCTTATAAGTGCTCCGAGTGCGGGAGTTGTTTTTTCTGGAAGTCGCACCTCATCGTTCACCAAAAACTCCATTCTGGGGAGAAGCCCTTTGCCTGCTCTGAGTGCGGGAAAAGCTTCTCCAGTAACTTGTATCTTCAAACCCACAAGAGGATTCATTCCGCTGACCATTCCTATTCGTGTTCAGAATGCGGCAAAATCCTTACTCCACAAATCGAAGCTGATCCTGCACCAGGTGATCCATACCGGGGAACGGCCGTTTTCGTGCCCCGATTGTGGGAGGTGTTTTCCGCGTAAGGGAGAACTGACCGTTCACCAGAGAAGGCATCTGGTGGAGAAGCCCTATTCGTGTTCCGGGTGCGGGAAATCCTTTCACTTGAACTCCGCGCTGGTCAACCACCAACGAATCCATACAGGGGAATGGCCTTATACTTGTCCCGAGTTTCAGCCTACCTGGAGTACTGATGGCCCACCAGAGGATACACACTGGAGAGAAGCCATTTACGTGTTCGGAGTGCGGGAAATCCTTTACCCAAAAGATGGGACTGAACACTAATAAGCGAACCCACACTGGTGAACGGCCTTATGCTTGTTCAGAGTGTGGCAAATCCTTTACGTGCCGTTCCTACCTCATTCAACACCACAAGGCCCACCCGTTGGAGAGTTCCCTTCCCAGTTAGCATGCTCGGTAATTGGCTGCATAATAACAGTACAAATAAAAGTTTTTCACTTCGGAATGGAAGAGACTCCTTTTTTCTGATGGCCTTGATCAACCCTATAGCATGCCAGCTTTGCTTTGCAGTTGGAGTTTCATGGACAGACCCTGTGTCACATTGTATTTTTGTAATAAAGTTTTGGTATTGAAAGATGCCTAAATTTTGCCCAGAGACGGCGTGACGAACCGTCCCTTTGTGATCACATTTTGCCCTTTCTGTTTCAGTTTTCTCCCCTTGGTAAAGCTGTATATGTTTAGCAGGTGTTATGTAGATAGGCAATCTACACTGTTTGTTTAGGGAAATGTGACCTTGTAGTATTTCATTTCTATAGAGTTCATACAGTATTGTTGGGTTGTAGGGTTTTGTTGTGGGTGGGGAAAACCCGATGCCAGGCTGTCTGGTGGGAGTGGGGGTGAAGCTGTATATACTGAACTGTGTTCAATAAAAATTCCTTCATTTCACCCTACACAAAGTTTTGACTCATGGTTTGGGATATCAGGGAAGGATTGGTTTTGAGCTCTAATACCTTCCTTGGCAGAGCACTGGAAGACTTGCAGGACAAGGGGACCATTGGGTGAGACGCATCTCTCCGCACAAGAAAGCCCAGGCGGAACAGTTCCGCCACAATTGGTTGGCAGCGGTGGGATCTTTCCTCATTGCAGAGAAAGCCCAAACCACCAACCGGGACCTCATCTTTTTCACGGAGACGTCCCTGCTCAGCCAGATGGATATACGGGACCTCCGGAAGCCAGCTCTCCAAAGCCTGCTTGTCGCTTGGGGAGGTATCTCTGGCTCCAAGACCAGAGAGGAACTGTTGGACGAGATTATGGCCCGGGACCAAGCGGATACGCACCAAACTTCACCTGATGCGCACTCCGCTACGCTTGAAGCGAACACTGCTCCGCCAGAAGCGAACTCCGCTTCACAAGAGGAGTTGGAGGAACAGAGCAGTTCATCGGCCCCTGAAATGCCAGACCCACTTAGCACCGTACGGAGACCCCCTATACCATTCGGATTTATGACAAGAGGTGGAGTGGCATTTGGCTCTGTTCAGCAGCGCTCCCACCCATGAACAGATTTCCAAGGCCCTGGATGATGCCACCCAACTGCGGCTTAGTCACTCCCGGTCATCAACCGAAGGCTCAGTCTGGGAGGGGATTACCTCCCGCCTTCTCCAGACTGCAACCGGACCAAAGAAAATTCCCTACGCTGCTTTTAAAACTTTCCTGGAGGCGGATGGGGATATTGACAGCTTTCTTCAGGACATTAAACGGTTGTGCACTATCCATGGTGTGGCAACCCAAGACCGGGTCCCCATTTTGAGCAGCAAGCTAACCTGTCGGGCTGCAGGTGCATTCAGGACTGTACACGGCAGCTACTGCTTGGATTATGATTTTGTTAAGGAACACTTACTGGCCCGCTACGCTCTCACCGCAGAAGTGTACCTCTTAAAGTTCTGGGCACTCAAGAAACCCCAGGACACCTTCACTGAATGGGGACATCAGTTACAACACGCTGCCTGCAGCTGGGTCCGAGGGTGTCAGATCACCAAGCTAGAGGAACTGTTGCAACTGTTGTTACTGGAGCAGTTTTACAATGGACTTCCAGGGGATGTTAGACATTGGGTCCAGGACAGATACCCCCTAACCTTAGCCGACGCTAGTCAGTGGGCTGATGAGAAGAGAGATTAAGGAAATGTTGGATTTAGGTGTGATAGAACCCTCTGACAGTCCCTGGGCCTCCCCAGTAGTCCTGGTACCCAAGAAGGACGAAACCGTCCGGTTCTGTGAGGACTACCGCAGGCTCAATGACCGGACCGTTACCCCATGCCCCGGATAGACGAGCTGCTAGACCAGATGGCCAGAGGTAATTTTCTTACCACTATCAATCTCTACAAGGGGGTACTGGCAGATTCCGCTGGATGCGAACGTGGTACCAAAGTTGGCATTCATCATCCCTTTCGGCTTGTACCAGTCCAGGGTCATGCCGTTTGGGATGAAGAACGCCCCGGCTACCTTTCAGAGAATGGTAGATAAGCTGCTGGATGGACTGCAGGACATCTCTTGCGCCTATCTAGATGATATACAGTCATGGCCGAAATTGTTGGCACCCTTGATATTTCTCCAGGAAATCATGTATTTCTCACGAAACGTATTGCATTAACACATGTTTTGCTATACACATGTTTATTCCCTTTGTGTGTATTGGGACAAAACAAAAAAAAGGGAGGAAAGAAAGCAAATTCGACATAATGTCACACAAACCTCCAAAAATGGGCTGGACAAAAGTATTGGCACCCTTTCACAACTGCGGATAAATAAGAATGTTACAAGCATGTGATGCTCCTGTAAACTCACCTGGGGCAAGTAACAGGTGTGGGCAATATAGAAATCACACCTGAAAGCAGATAAAAAGGAGAGACGTTCACTTAACCTTTGCATTGTGTGTCTGTCTGTGCCACACTAAGCATGGACAACAGAAAGAGGAGACGAGAACTGTCTGAGGACCTGAGAACCAAAATTGTGGCAAAATATCAACAATCTCAAGGTTACAAGTCCATCTCCAGAGAACTAGATTTGCCTTTGTCCACAGTGCGCAACATTATCAAGAAGTTTGCAACCCATGGCACTGTAGCTAATCTCCCTGGTCGTGGACGGATGAGGAAAATTGATGAAAGATTGCAACGCAGAATAGTCCGGATGGTGGATAAGCAGCCCCAAACATGTTCCCAAAGACATTCAAGCTGTCCTGCAGGCTCAGGGAGCATCAGTGTCAGCGCGAACTATCCGTCGACATTTAAATGAAATGAAACGCTATGGCAGGAGACCCAGGAGGACCCCACTGCTGACACAGAGACATAAAAAAGCAAGACTACAGTTTGCCAAAATGTACTTGAGTAAGCCAAAAGCCTTCTGGGAAAACGTCTTGTGGACAGATGAGACCAAGATAGAGCTTTTCGGTAAAGCACATCATTCATTCTACTGTTTACCGAAAACGGAATGAGGCCTACAAAGAACAAAACACAGTACCTACGGTAAAATATGGTGGAGGTTCAATGATGTTTTGGGGTTGTTTTGCTGCCTCTGGCACTGGGTGCCTTGACTGTGTGCAAGGCATCATGAAATCTGAGGATTACCAAAGGATTTTGGGTCGCACTGTAGGGCCCAGTGTCAGAAAGCTGGGTTTGCGTCCAAGATCCTGGGTCTTCCAGCAGGACAATGACCCCAAACATACGTCAAAAAGCACTCAGAAATGGATGGCAAAGAAGCGCTGGAGAGTTCTGAAGTGGCCAGCAATGAGCCCAGATCTAAATCCCATTGAACACCTGTGGAGAGATCTTAAAATTGCTGTTGGGAAAAGGTGTCCTTCCAATAAGAGAGACCTGGAGCTGTTTGCAAAGGAAGAGTGGTCCAAAATTCCGGGTGAGAGGTGTCAGAAGCTTATTGATGGTTATAGGAAGCGACTGATTTCAGTTATGTTTTCCAAAGGGTGTGCAACCAAATATTAAGTTAAGGGTGCCAATACTTTTGTCCAGCCCATTTTTGGGGTTTTGTGTGACATTATGTCATATTTGCTTTTCTGCCTCTGTTTTATATTTGTTTCCAATACATACAAAGGGAATAAAACATGTGTATAGCAAAACATGTGTTAATGCAATACCTTTTTTGTGTGAAATACTTGATTTTCAGGAAAAATATCAAGGGTGCCAACAATTTCGGCCATGACTGTAGCTATCTACAGTGATAGTTGGGAAAATGCCTTGTTGGGGTGTCCGAGGTCCAATATCTAGGACATCGGGTAGGATGTGGGAAGCAATGACCAGCACCGGCAAAGGTGGAAGTGGTAGCAAATTGGCCCACCCCCCAAACCAAGACCCAGGTCCTTGCCTTCCTAGGCACTGCAGGGTACTACCGTAAATTCATCCCCAACTACAGAGCCATTGCTAAACTCCTAACGGATCTGTCCCGGAAGAATCTGCCCCGACAGGTTGTGTGGTCCCAGAGTGTGAAACGGCTTTCCAAAAGCTCAAACATGACCTGATCCATGCTCCCGTTTTGGCTGCTCCAGACCCTTCCAAACGGTTTTGTGTTCACACCGATGCCTCCAGCTTTGGATTGGGCGCTGTTCTGAGCCAAATCGGGGACGATGGGAATGACCATCCAATGGCCTACCTAAGTAGAAAGTTGTTACCCCAGAAGGAGGCCTATGCTGCTGTGGAGAAAGAGTGTCTTGCCTTGGTATGGGCCCTCAAGAAATTGCAGCCTTACCTGTACGAGCGCTCCTTTACCATATTCATCAATCACAACCCCCTGGTATGGCTAAACCGGGTCTTCGAGGACAATGGTCGTCTGCTGCGGTGGAGCTTGGCCCTCCAACCCTATAACTTTACCATCCAGTACCGACCGGGGAAGCAAAATGCCAACGCGGATGGGTTGTCCCTGCAAGCTGAGTTGGAGAAGTGACCCTCTGAACTGACCAGCCCCAAGTGGACCCTTTTGAAGGTCTCGCCGGACAAATAAATAGTTTTTCGCTTTGGAATGGAAGAGACTTCTTTTTTCCGATGGCCCTGATCAACCCTATAGCATGCCAGCTTTGCTTTGCAGTTGGAGTTTCATGGACAGACCCTGTGTCACATTGTATTTTTGTAATAAAGTTTTGGTATTGAAAGATGCGTAAATTTTGCCCAGAATCGGACTTTCAAAACTGCAGGAACAATCTGAGAAAAGTTGTACAGTGGTCATTTACCTTTTTTTTTGTTTTTGTAAAATAAATATGTATGTCAAGTTATAAAATTGGGCCATTTCAAATTCAGATCTATGCAGTGACATAACTGTTTGAGCTTCTAGAATGTACGGACAGACTTGCTGATTGGGCAGAATCCACAGACAGCTTAACTCCTCAGCAAGACACAGCTGTGTCCAGCGTACTTCGGATACGGTAATGCGAAAGAATGATTTTCCAGT